GCCGCTCGGACTGCAGGAAGCTGCCCGGGCCGCCCACCTGAAAAACAGGCATCGCACGGTACACGCCAGGCTTTCGCTCCCGCTCGTCAGACAGAACAGTGCCAAGAGCGGGCTCCGCATCTTCCCCTCCCTGCGGCTGCCCGAAACAGCTCGTACCCAGCGGGTTGCCCCCGGTGTAACGGGGCTCGGGAGGCGCCGTCTTCCAGCGGGCACCGGGGACTCTGCGTAGTTACGTGACGGCCCGCCGAGAGACCCTGCTCCCCTCCCTGGTCCTCAGTTTCCACAAAATGAAATCGTTTAAGGGGAAGGCGCTTTCCTGCAGAGGCCTGGGGTCCCTCACAGCGGCCTCGCCTGCCTAGGACAGCCCGCGGGACGAGGGTGGGTGAGCCGGCTGCTCGCGGGAGTCGGGAGCCCGAGTGAAAAGGCCTCAAAGAGCACGAGTCGATTGACACGCATCAACTTCCACCCTTAAAGTCAAGTACTTGCTTAAGATTAAAAAATTCAGACAAACGTTATGTAAATTTCAATCCTATGGATAAAAGCCAGGTTCTTAAAAGTAGTGCCTTAAAGGCTTCCTGGAACGTACAGGTACAGGTGTTTCCTTTTCGACAGCAAATGCCCAAAGACTCCTGACCTTATAAAATGTATTTTCCTGAGTGAATGTCAAGGATTTCACAAGGCAAGGTGTCAAAAAAGGCATCTCATTCTATATTCACATTGTCCGATAGGCGTGGTCATAGTTTTAAGAACAACTCCAAGCAGCTACTGCAGCTGAGGCTGTGTGAGGGAGCCCAGTCACAAGCAGCGCTGTGCATCTCGGGCTTGCCTTCCAGGAAAAAAAAGAACAAAAATCCCCTGCAGGTTGAAGGGAATGGAATGTCTTGAACATGCTGAATTTGCTTAACAAGATACGTGATTAAAGAAAGAGGCAGGATTCATAGCTGACTGCTTATCTTTATAGCTGACTGTGTTGGATATGTACGGGAAGAGAAGCTTCTAATGCTTTCTGAGGGTAGCCAAAACAAGAGCCATGAGATAAGGAAGTAAATAGGAGGATGGCTCAAGGATAAAGCCCCGGCTGGCGCAGGCTGTGTTACTCTGACAGCAAAATAAGGAGGTGAAAAGCTAAAAGTTCGCCAAAAGGACACGGTGAAGAAGAACGGTGGGTGAGGTAAACGACCACCAGATGTCTCTGAAGCCCCCAATGGACTGAGCTAGGCATGTGGGAATAGACGGTGAACTTAGGTAAATTAGTTTGGGGGAATGTAATGAATATGCATATTTTATTTACATATGCATATTTGACTTGCATAAAAACTGTGTCACTAACCCTTTACAGCACGCACATTAGGAGGAGTGATCCCCTGTGCGTCCAGCGCTGTAATAAAGAATACCTGCTTCATAGTCGCCAAGACTGTTGAGTCCTGATTTCAGCTTTTCACGGCATGCAGGTAGAGCCGAGTTCTCTCTTTCCCAAATTTCCCTGCAAATGCCTGCTTCCCTCGGTGCTGCCTGAGCAGGCACCAGCTGCCCCACGGCGCCAGGGGTCATTGCTGTGGCTCTAAAAGTCACCCCTCACTGATGCTGGCACTTCTCGAGGCAAAAGCAGAGGCAGGGCTCCCACAAACACCTTCCTCCTGTCTTTGTGAAGCAACAATAACCCCTTCTTTCTCAGGTCAATCGATTACCTTGCTGGATCAGAGCTGTACTTTATAAAATCCAGAGGGGAAAAAACCTTAAGTATGAATCTTTAAAGTAACACACAGGCCTGTAATCCCGTAGAAATACACACTAATGGAGGGAAGGAAATATGACTTCTTTGCCATTTGTGCTGAAGTTGATAAGCACAGATTTAAATACTCTGTTTGAGGTACAATTAAGTTTTCATTAACCCAATGTAAAAAGCCTCCATTAAAACTCAGTGCCACCTATTCAATGTCTTTCTGACCCAGTGTGGAGATAGCTTATTATTTACATTTTAAGGAATAAGGAACCTGATTTCACGCACATTATTAATTGAGCCCTCCATGGTCACGTGATGAACTAAGGGTTCAGAAAAAAAACCAATAAAAATCAATCATTAAAGCTAACCACAACTTGCTTTTATCCCAAATCACAGTTCCCCCCAGCTATTCTTTCATCCAAATGAAGCCCTTACCCGGCACGTCCCTCTGGCCTGCTGGTCTGAGAACAGGAAAGCCACCAGCAAACAAGCCTCCCAGCGGCTGCTGAGAGCTGCCTTTACTAATGGCTGGATTACCTCCATCTCTGTTAGTTCCTTTGGGTTCTGTTAAAAAGAACCAAAAAACCCAGGTTGTATCAGAAACACATTCCATCCTGCCCTCAGACCACTAAGACTTGGCACCAACAAACATAGCCAAGACCAGACTTTTCCCCCTTTAAGCAAGCTCAGCAAGGACAGTTCCTGTTAATACGGTAAACTACCATTACTCTCTGACCCGTATCTCAGAGCACAGCACCCTCTGGTGCTTTTTAATCTCACATCAATAATGACACCAACAAGAAGTTGTGTTAGACAACATTAAATTTATGCTTCCAGAATTTTTTGGCATTTTTTTGTTCAGCTAGTAAAGAACAATTCTTCTGCCAGAGCCAACAATTCCCACTTAAACAATCATTTTACTGAGAAACACTCAAGGATTTCATCATTCATCATTTTTTTCTGGACAAGGAATGCCTGTTAAACTGGTACCCAGTTATGCACTTACTATTAAGCGTTAGTAGCTGTTGATCTCAGAGCAGGATGCAAGTTCAGAAAATTAAACTCTCCCTGCTCTGTCCCCTAAAGCCACATGAAGATGCAGACCTTTGCTGAACTTGAAAAATGCCCTTCAAATTTGAAAATTGAGGTATCAGCACCCAGGGACCTTGCTCAGGAGCACGTACTTACTTTCAATCTGTGGTGCGCTGCGGTCGTTGATTTGTGTCACTTTTCTTAAGCGAGTTCCCTGCTGGATATCGGCTAAGAGCGCGTTCCGTGCTTTTTGGTCTTCCTTTCGCAGTTTTGGTACCTCTGAACTTGCCTGTTGACAGCAAGAACATCAGATGGGAGGTACAGACAAAAATGCTTGCTTAGAAAGGACACATAAGCAAACATGGGATAGAAGATTTGAAATAAACCATCCTTGGCAGCTGTCATTTCAAAGCCTTTGAGTCGCGCCTGCAAGAACAGCATTCGGTTGTGTAGGAGGCAGGAAAGCTGAAAGTTTAAATGTAAGACAAATCTAATGCTAGCTGTGTTAGCACTGTTGAAAGGAAATTAGGGGGCATGCTTAAATTAAATGAGACCTCTTGCTTGGCCACTTATGGTCTCTGCTCCACAACTCCAGCTCTGCCTGCCTCTCTCATTAGCTCTTTTCATGCTATTTACCAGGCTTTGCGACAAAGATTTTACATGCCGTCTGAGAATAAACATCTTTGTTTTATCCACTTTGCCTTATGAAAAAAGACAGGTAAGTGCACACTGCACTTATATTTGAATGTGGTCATTAACTAATTTAGACTGCCTGTGCTGGAGATTTACACCAGTTTAACCAGAATGTCTTCAGAACAATACAATTATATTTTAGTAACTTTTCTAGCCTGGCCAAGGTCCGTAAAGGTAAAGTCAGGTTGTACTTTAAAGTTTTGTAATAAAACCAAAAAATATTTTTATTCTTTATTCTTATTTCATCAAGTTTCCTGTTACTTAAGAAAAAATACCAAACTTTAAAAAGCTTGGACGTTTCACTTTCCTGAGGCAGATATAAACCAGCAAAGCCATTCTTTCTAAACCTATCATGTGATTAACAGAGTGGGTCTAGCAGAGGGGGACCCTTCACGTCAGAGGCACGATGTGCTGCATGATTCCTCATCCACTGCAAATTCCCGTAGGTTACCTGACTTCCTAAAGAGAACACGTACCGGAAATGTTTCCATAGCCCTTAACGTTAGCATCATAGTCATAATAAAGCAGAACACTATCATCTCACTTTAAAACAAAAAACCCAACTTGGTAATAGCATTCTGAAAGCAAAACAGATGCTTGAAAATACTTAACCAGCTCCTGAATGAATAAAATGTCTAACTTGTGAATCCTAAATGAAGCTTTATACTGGTACGATATTACTTGTGGTTATTTTTGTACCTGCTAAAAAAAAAAAAAAATCAGGTTAGATTTGCAGAGCGCCACTAGATGGCACTCCAGATCGCTGCTAATGCCAGCTGCGTTCCTGACACCTGATGTAAAAACTCGAAATTATGATCTTGTAAGTGATACCGTAACCATATATATTATTTTAAAATATTAGGAAAAAACCCACTGTTACATGGTTTTCCTAATTTGAAACAGCGCTGCCCACCCTTGTGCCTTCAGGACAGTGAGTCCCACTGCCCGTGAAGACAACCCAGAAAAGCTGCCGGCGTAAGCAGCGTTAGGTCACGTACCAGCCAGAAACTGTTTCCACTCACATTTTCTGTAAGTTGCCAATACTTACTGTGAAAAATGGAAACACCATAACTGGAACAAGGGTGGCTCCCCTTCTCACAAAAGCTTTTTACCAGTATCTTGAACCTCACGCCTCTCCACTGCCACTAATGGCTTTGCCGTAGCAGGACAACCAGGATCTAGAGGGATCTGATCGAGACCTATGTTTAAAATTAGATCCAGCAGCTGCGATTTCGTTTCTGGGTTCAGGCGTCTGTACGTTACGCCAGCTGTCCATTTCTTCTCCCTGATCTACTTGTCGGAGCAGGTAGGCTATTGGAATATAAAGGCTCGATATCCAAATAGCTATTAGGCTAAAACACCCTACTTGGGGCAACCTGTATTTGCGAGTGACCCGTGACTTGCTATCACTTTAACATGGCTACGGTGTTCATTTGTTCACAATTCATAGCATAACAAAGCAGGAACGCTCTTCTGCAGGCCCATAACGCAGCGTCACAAGGTGCCCTTACTTCAAGCACAACTCCACCCCACGCCCCCGCTGTTTCTTCTTCCTCCTCGCGTACCTAAGAGATACAATCTTCCGTGCCCAGCCTGGTGGACTCGGGTGATTGATTAGCTGCTGAGTAGCTTGATACGGATTCTCTTTTTCCATTACAAAGTCAAGATGGTCTGGGGTGTAGTGTTGCCTGGTTGCACGGCGGTCAGAGCTCCTTCGGATTTCTTGTTTGCCACCTGCGCTCCCCAGGCTGGTGACAATTCTTGTCAAGAATCATTTCACCTGGTAAGTATCTTGCCCACTCACCTACTGGTGTCCTGCCTTTGCAAACTTGTGTTTTTACCATGTTGCTTTTTGATACACAGTCAGAAAGGAACCTTCCTGCAGTTAAGAAATTAATCGGGGATTCCCACCCATGCTGTGTCTGCAATACAGAGCACAACAGATACTAAATGTGTAAGTTGTGTATCAAGAGAGAAAGAAAAACAGGAACTCATGGGTGTCAAATGTTCAATCCCGATCGCATGAAATAGAAACGCTTGAACGGGAAGACAAATACGTTTTGTGTCACAGAGGAAAAGCCGCTGCAAGACAAAGAATGTAATTCTTAGGCTGCTTTCTACCACCCCATCTGCAGGGCAGCCTCATTTATTTAGAGAGAGAAACATCTCAATCTTTCAATGAAAATCAGAAGGGAAGCAGAGAAGAATGTGAAGATCATTTGTTTTATCAGATGCCAGAGCTGCCTCAGGTAACACAGAGTGAAATTAAATTCCATACTTTATTTACATGAATCAGTAAGGGAACAGTGGGTTCTCATTACCTTAGTAACCATTAGGTTATTCCGCTGCTATTTCAGACATAAAGAATGGCACATTCAATACATACTTGGAAACAAACCGGAACAAACCAGACATGTAAATAGCCTGAACTTAAGAGATCTGATCCCTTCTCATCTGCCCAAACTCCACTACTTTTGCCTTCAGTGTCCTAAATGACGCCCTCAGCTATGCCATTCAGTAAGGTATAGGATCAATGTTTGGGCTACCTGACAGGTCTCCAAAGTACCTGTAAACAGGAAAACACCATTAAATCACAATATTTAGAGTGTTGTTCCAGAGTGTAAATCATCAATGATGGAAATAAACATTTCAGAATTTGCAGGTGATAACTGAGACTGGCAGAGAAATGAATAACGAGGACGGCGTGGTTATACATAGAGATCCGAATCACTGCAACGTGAACCCATTTGAAAAGAAGAACAAACCAAAACATAGCGCTCCTCCACCACCGGGAAAAAAAATAATAAATACACAATACACAAATGTAAAACTGAGAATTACTGGTGAAAAGTCCTGGCCATACCTCCGAAACGCAAGCCTGCATCCAGGGTGCCACGAGCCTGAGCCTGTCAGCAGGCTCCAGCAGCGAGCGCGCACGAGCAAGCGTGCCTGACCTCCTAGCACCGTGCCGTGGTGAGGAGGGATGGCATGCTCCCCTGGTACATTTTTTCCTTTCAGAAAAATAACGTGAGCAAAAATGGAATTACAAGCTCAGCTCCGGTCTCCAGATCTTTAAAATTATGTTGAAAAACTGAAGATGCACAGGAAAGAGCCAGCAACTTTTGGTATTCAAAAAGCTGGAGGGAACAGTTCAGATTTTAGCAGCTCAGTCTGGTCCATCAGCCCTGAAGTCTATCTGCAGGGTGGTCTGCCTCACAACACACAAAACCTTTACAGGGAAATGATGGTGAGGACTCAGGGTCTGTTAATCTGTCAGAGACAGGCATTTGGTGAATTAATGTGAGACGCAGACAGACAAGCTCTGATTAGAAAGCAGCAAGGATGGAAGTGGCCAGAGTGACTGCTCCCCACAGTGAAGGGCTGCGGATGGCAGCAGAGCAGACTATCGATTTCTTGGTTTTCAGATCAACTCTGGATCCTCTCTGGCAGAAGAACTTTTTGTGAAGCCCAAGTCATTGGGCCCCACATAGAGCTGACACGCAGTACAGCTTGCAGTGGGGAAGGAGCCAGTGGTTTCATAGAATCATAGAATCACAGAATGTTTTGGGTTGGAAGGGACCTTTAGAGGTCATCTCGTCCAACCCCCCTGCAGTGAGCAGGGACACCTTTAACTCAGTCAGGTTGCTCAGAGCCCTATCCAACCTGACCTTGAATGTTTCCAGGGATGGGGCCTCCTCTACCTCCCTGGGCAACTCATTCCAGTTTCTTCCTTATATCCAGTCTAAATCTGCCCTGGTTTAGTTTAAAACCATTAGTCCTTGTCCTGTCACAGCTAGCCCTACTAAAAAGATTGTCCCCATCTTTCCTGGAGGCTCCCTTTAAGTACTGAAAGGCTGCAATAAGGTGTCCCCGTTTCTTCCAGTTTTGAGTTCTATGGAAGTGAACCATTTTGTTTAGCAGAACAACTCTATTTACACTGTATATACGGACCACGTCAAGGTCTGCCCCTGAATAATCACAACCTTAACACCCTAAACTGGATTGTATCAGACAAGTCAAGATCAGAGAGACTTTTTTAAAGAAAATGGACTGAAATCCATGGCAATGAGCTCTGTTTCTGGGTATATCACTGCTGCGATATTTGCATCACCTTGGGAAAATTACTTTACATCTTGCAAGACAGATGGGAGCATCAACCTACCCTCTGGGCTCCAATGATACTTAAAATATTTAAGAGGTATATGTGCTCAGATACTAGAACTATGTAAATGCAGAAGGCAGCAGGCATTTGAAAAACTTCATAGTACTACTTATAAGGAAATACTAATCATTATCTTTCAGATTTTAAAGACCCCCTCCCCTGCACACAGAAAAGGAGAAATCCTCCGGACTCCGGGCAGGTTGTTCAGGTCATACAGTGCCCCATAAATGGGTTATATTTACTCTGATTTTTAAATGTGCTCTTTACTGAATTTGCAAAATACTTGAGGGTAGACCTTCAGAAACATGACAGTTGCAGCAAAAATGGACCTCCAGCCATCTGGGCAATCCAGTAGCCAGGTGGTCACAGACGTTTGTTTCAGAATAAACCCATCAGCTAATTGGGAATAGAGGATCCCGTACTCCAGCTGTGTAATAGGTAGGAGCCATAAATTAGATAAAATAAAGCACAGTTCCATCCAAAGGCACTACATTCTCTTTTATTTCAGAGAACTTGTAGTAGTATTTATACTCCTACCGTGTAATGAATTTTATCTTCACAGTAGATTCCCTTTCCTGGTCACTTTTTATTGGCTATATTGGAAATACATCTGTGTAGAAAATCGATTTATTTATCTGAACTAGATAAAAACACTAAAACAAAAAAGAAGTCAAAATACATTTAGTTTATCCCTAACTATCTATTTGTGAAACATAAACCAATAAAACTAAAAATCAATCAATCAATTTGACATGCAATATTTTATTATGGGCAAGAGAGAGAACTCTGTCTTTTGCTGACAATTTCATTTATTTCCGTTAATCTGGTGTCAATCACTCTTCCTCTCTCCCATGCCCCATTTTTTCCACCTAGACAAAAAAAAGGATTCAATGCAGAGATCAAGCACAGATACTGGCAGAGGGCATATGCAGCGTATGTTTTAGTAAAAGAAGAGTTTGAGGACACCCCTTAACAAACCTTTGCTTTCTTACTATTTTTCTCTTCCATGCTCAGCCAAACCTGCACAGACCTGGGCTGAGGCAAGGGATCTTCAGCAATACAGCACGCAACACCTCAGGTTTGGCTTTTAAGGAAGGGGAAAGATGTTGCAGCAAGATCAAGAAAGATGAACAGAAAGCACTACGATAAGGGATGCTTGATCACAGAGACACACATTCATGAAAACAAGAGTTCCTGGGCCAGTCCTGGCCTTCTCTGGTATCCCACCTGACGTGATTCAGAGACCAAACTTAAACTAAGAAATGCAAAAGAAAAAGCATAAAACATGGCAATGGACAATTAAAACCAGCATGTAGAACAGCAGACAGG